CGCATGTCCGAGGCGATGAGCCGCCTTGGGCTTCGCGATGTAGGCGCAGTCTACACCATTTTAGACTGGGCGGAGATGTGGGGCGATAAGCCAGCGCCACATGACAACCTGTTGCGGGGGCCCGATCACGCGTCCATCTACGGGCGGGATGACGTGGCCGAGATTGTGCGCGGGCTGGGTTTGCCCCCCAGCTGAGAGTACGCGGTGCCATCCGCGCGGAACATGGTCGGTAATTGCCCCCCAGGGTGGTTCTGGGTGTACACCGAGTATTGGGTGATGGGGTTTAAATTCCCCATCGACCCTCTGCTGTGCGCTCTGTACAGACGCCTCAACTGCTCGGTTGGGCGCCTTTCCCCTTCGGTGATTATGCACGCTTCGTGTCTCCGCCTCGTGTGTAAGAGGCTTAATATCCAGCCCACTTATGGGTTGTTCCGGAAGATTTACAAAATCAAGGAGCCCACAAGGAGGAGCGACTGCCTCTCTATTAAGCGCCGCGACAACAGGCCCGACGGCTTCGTGTATGGATCTCCGAAGTTGAAGAAGACCTGGTTTGAGCGCTTCTTCTATGTCAAGCCGACGCCGGGGGAGTGGGCGAGTGAGCATGTGGAGGAGCCAACTGTTTGGAAAAAGGGCAGCACGCTCGGATACGAGTCGGATCAGGCAAATATGACGGTTTCGACGAGGAATATGAAGCGTGCATGCTTCAAAAGATTAATTTATATTTGGACGATGTCCGCGAGACTTGTTTGGAGGAGCTCTTAGCCGATGGTTAGTTATGGTTCTTTCCCTTTGCATTCTGTCATATTTAACCGCCTTCTTACGATTTATTGGCGCAGGTGTTGACTTCTCAAGCCTGGTGAGCATGATGTCGTTGGACGACGTCGTGAAGGCTCCTCGGGCTTCGCGTGCCGAGAAGAAGAAGAAAGAGAGTGCGCAACCCAGCAACGCGCAACCCAGCTGCGCGAAGAGGAAAGAGGTGGATCAGCCGCTGGTTGCTGAGAAGCCGAGGAAAGCGACTCGGGTGACTGAGCAGCCCGCCCAGGTGGCGCGCCACTTGCCTCTCATGATTTCCGAACCAGAAGCGCATGAATAAGTCTCTGCACCCTGAGAAGACAGTGGCTGCCAGTTCATCTGGTGCAACTGTCCAACAGAAACTACCGGAGATGGCCGGTTTTGGGGGAGCCGCCACCGCCATCAATTACTACCGCGATGTGCGGCTCCATACTTGTGTGGCGTGCAATAGTAATGCCGCGCAGGCTGCGCTGCGGGCGGTTGGACCTCTGCTGAGTGTCCCTACGCGGCTGGAGAAGTCAGATCCGCTGTAGGACCTGGCTCAGGTTCACTTCGCGGTAAGATTAAGTTGTTCTTACGCATGGTCTGTCTTATTTATCAAGTGGGATTCTGCTAAGTCTTGTGGCGCTGTGAATGTAGGGCTTGTTGGCGACCTTCCGAGCTCAGCAGGAGCGAACCTCGCACCGCGCAAAGCTGAAGGCGAAGGAGTCGAGGATTGTCCAACTGGAGGGCAAGCTTGCCGGGGCAGAGAGTCGCGCGGAAGTGGCGACCAATAAAGCTAACGAGGCCATGGAGGAGCTCGGCGTGCTGCAGAGCAAGTTGGCGGACGATGTGGAAGCGGCCAAGGAGCGGGTGAGGGCGGAGGAGCGTGACACCCTTCAGGAGGAGTTGCGGAGCCAGTTCGCGGAGGAGAAGAAGCAGCTGGAGGAAGCGCATGCAGAGAAGCTGAAGCAGGTCCGCGAGGAATTTCAGAAGGAGAAGGAGGATCTGGTCCGCTTTCATGATGTTGCGAAGGTGGAGGCGGTGCGCGCCGCTCAAGTCACTGCCATTCGCCAGTACAAATCGTCTCCCTCCTTTGGGAAGATTGTGGCGGATGCAATGACTAAGGCTGTGTTCGCGATCCGCAAGGTGTGGCCAGAGAACCCGAGGATTCGCTGGAACACTCGCGCGATGGTGCGACACGTTCAGATGTGGGTGGGCGAGAAGAGGTCCTTAGAGTCCGATTCCGAGCGGAAGCTGAGGAAGAGGAAGTGCGCGCAGGCACGGGCGAGGGGGAGGATGAGAAGGCTGGATCTGGTGGCGATCAGGCGGGTGATGCGGCGCAGACTACCCCTGCGGATGCTGTAATAGACGAAGTGTAGTCGCGCTTAGTATGATGTAATCCCGTGAACTTGCTTATCGTTGTGCTTTTAATGCATACTTGTTTTTTTTTGTTATATCGCGGCATTGGGCTCGCGAATATTGCTCCTGCTAATATAATCCAAAGATTTCTTCTTCTTTCTTCGCTCTCGTGTGACGCGTGCTTGTTGCTGTTTATTTTTGTTCCGCAGAATTTTCGCGTAGTGGACGATTAATGATTTGTTGCGCTCGTGGAGCGCTGGCGCGAATAATTCATGATTATTGCTACTTGTGTTCCGTAGAATTTTTTGCGCAATTCGTGATTGACGCTTTGTATGTTTTGCTCTCATGGAGCGGTGGCGCGAATAATTCATGATTATTGCTACTTGTGTTCCGTAGAACTTTTTGCGCAATTCGTGAATGACGCTTTGTATGTTTTGCTCTCTTGGAGAGGTGGCGCGAATAATTCATGATTATTGCTACTCGTGTTCCTTAGAACTTTTTTTGCGCAATTCGTGATTGACGCTTTGTAGGTTTTGCTCTCGTGGAGCGTTGGCGCGAATAATTCATGATTATTGCTACTCGTGTTCCGTAGAACTTTTTTTTTGCGCAATTCGTGATTGACGCTTTGTATGTTTTGCTCTCGTGGAGCGGTGGCGCGAATAATTCATGGACTGGCGTTTATTTCTTCGCGCCAAAGGCGTTGTAGTGAAAAGATACACATCATGTGGAACAGTGGTATTTCCTAAGGTTTTGCGCGTTCCACGTCCTTGGTATTTTCGTGCCTCCCAACTCGCTGAGTTTGAATGTGTTTGCGCCGATAACCTCGCGGACTAGGTAAGGGACCTCCCATGTTTGGGGTCGGGGCGGAAGTTCCGCCTAAGAACTTGGTCTCCTAGGACCAGCTTGTGTGGAACTAGCATGGCGTTGTAGTACTTTGCTACTTGTTCTTTAGTGGCAGCTAGCCTAATGGCTGCCAATTCTCGTCGTTCTTGCGCCAGCTCCAAATCTAGCAGTCGGCCCTGGTTATCACTCTTCTCGTCATACATCGTGATCCGGTAGGTGGGAGTGGCTGTCTCGATAGGAATCACCGCGTCCGTGCCATATGTGAGGGCGAAATGGGTTTCGCCCGTCGCCACTTTGAATGTGGTGCGGTGTGCCCATAGCACCGTGTGAAGCTCGTCCGCCCAATTTCCTTTCGCTTCATCAAGGCGGGTGTGTAGGCCATGTAAAATTGCCTTGTTTGCCGACTCCGCTTGGCCGTTGGATTGGGGGTATGCTACTGACGCGAATCTTGCGATGGCTCCTACTTGGTCGCAGAAGTCTATCACCTCCGCGCAGTCGAACTGCTTTCCATGATCAAATACGAGCGCGTTCGGGACGCCGAATCGCGCAAGGACGTTGTTCTTTAGGAAGCGGGTCACCTGTTGCGTGGTTATCGAGGCTAGTGCTTCTGTTTCGATCCATTTGGTGAAGTAGTCAACCGCCACAATTATGTACCTCCGCTTTCCCTTTGCTGTGGGGAAGGGACCCAGGAGATCCACTCCCCATTGCGCGAAGGGCCATGGGCTTAGGTTGCTTTGAAGCTCGGTCGATGGTAGGTGATGTTGGCGCGCATTCACCTGACACTTGTGACATTGGTCTGCATATTTCTTCGTGCCTTTTTTTATTCGCGACCAGTAGTATCCATGCAGCAAGATAGTTCGTTCCATGCTGCGCGCCCCCGTGTGCATTGTGCACAAACCTTCATGTAGGTCGCGTACTAGGTTATGCGCCTCTTCCTGCCCTCATGGTAAATCTAATTTAGCTTATATAATTAGTAGAAAATGTTTTATCATTAATAATTTGAGAAGTAAAAGATAAGGGAAATACAAAGTCTTAGAGCAAAAATGCAGTCATTCCTCATAAGTTTAAATAACACAACTCATAGGATACCTAGCCTCTTCCTAACCTTTTGTTCTGTTTGGATGATGAAATTGTAAAATAAGACCATTTGACTCAATTATCGCAAATGCCCAAGCCTCAATTCAGCAATGACCCGGTTTCAAGAAAGAGATCTGGTCGCTAGCCCTGGTAGCTTTTGATTGCTAGGAATTAACAGATTTTTAAGGTATTCTTATTAATGTAGTCAATTAGATGTATTCGTGTATTTTAATAACAGTCCATCTGCATTTCACTATTTTGAGAATAAAGTATTAAAAAAATCTCATGGGAATAAAATTTAATATTATTATTTTAATTTGTAAAAATAGGATGGTGTGTACCCTCTGCAAAGAAGCAAATATATGTGCCAAAAAGTATATTATATATAACTTTAAATTAGTCATGGGCTCGGCCAGTTGGCTGGATTAATTTCACGATATTTGTATTTGGTTGTATACTAAAAAATAAAATATAAATTATTTAACTACTCGAAACATTCAAAAGGATTGGTAGCATAAGAGAATTCAAATTATTGAAATACTTGAATCATTCAAAAAGATCAATATCATAGTGTTTTTCGACATTCTAATAGACTCATCAACATTAATTGAAATAAAAAGACAAACCCCATGAAAGGGGACCAATTCAACATCCAACTTTCAACCTAATAGAATGGTCGGGGAAACTACTAATCTTCAATGTACTAAGAAACTACATAAATAATCTTCATCTATGTGATGTTGCTTACCAAGATCAACCTCAATTGCACTGAACTATGTTAAAAAAACTCATATCCTATAAACCTTCCAATCACGTAACTATCTATTGTCGACATAATTTCCTTCACTATAATTCAAATGGGGACCACCATATACACATGATTCACAATATGATCAATGACATCTCCTTCTCGTGGAATGCTCAATGAAGTTGGAATTGAGACCATTTGTTGACACCCATTTTTGTCCGGGTTAATTTCGTACTAAATAATTTTGTTCGAACCTAATAGGTTTAAACACTTGAAATTCATCATCCCATTACAATCCATTTCTGTTACACATTGGACTTCCAGCCTAGCCCGTTCCATAAAAAATGAAAATAACAAAAGAGAAATAACAGAAAGGGCCACAGCCCACAGTTGGAACCCAACAGCCCACATATCAGGACAGACCGGTTCGGTTCTTCAGACCAGACCCGCTCCTCCTCTGCTCCATCCTCGCCTCATTGCCTGCAAAAACAGAGTGATACTAAGCTCCATGATTTGATGAGTTGTACAAGGCCAGAGAAATCAATGAAAGGAAGAGAAACTAGATCTGGATAAAGAAAATTAATAACAGAGATGGGAGTAGGCTGAAGTGGTTGAGAGTTTGGTGTATAGTGGTTTTCGTTTTCTTATAAGAAGAGGCAGCAAGATGAGAATTGGGGGGGAGAAGAAAATAGCCAGTTGGTTCGAATCTTTCGATCGAAATTCCATTCCCGAGAGCAACCATTTTCTTTAGCCAACCCAAAGAAAACAGAGAAATCCAGAGATTCGTTCTTAATCAACAACCATTCACCCTGCCATAATCTCAAATCCAAACATCCTACAATTTCTGGAAAATTAAACGAATCATATAGCTACCCCACCTCGCTCCGTAAAATTAGAGAAATTAAATAACAAAAGCACACCCGTTGCCGCCTGCGACCACCGTGCCGCCGTCGTCATCTCACCGTCAATCGCCGACCCACACCACTGCCACCTTGGAGCTTCAGTTCCTCCCTCCCGAGTCCGCCGCCGTCGACCTGATCAACACCACCCGACGCCTCACATCGCCGCTCGCCGTTTCCGTGGCTCCACCCCAACACCGTCGCAGCCACCAGACAACAGCCGAGCCTATCTCGTTGTCGGACCGCCGAATCGTCAGGCCAGCGCGTCTTCGTCGCCGCACAACCGCCACCCATCGTCGATCATCGTCTCAGTCGCAAAACCAGACCACCGCCGCGCCACTGTTCCTTGCTGTTCGGTTCGCCGTGGAAGTAGAAGATCGCAGTGTTGGGAGCAGTAGAAAGAGAAAGGGGGAAAAGGTTGGTTTTTGGTATCTCTGCGTCGGATCACAGCACAGGTAAGGATTTTTTATCTCTTAATTTCTTAAATCACTAAACTAACCTCAAACCCTAGCGAATTTACAGAAATACCAAGGAAAAGTTCCATGTTTGGTCCCTCACGTTTTTAAGTAACCCGACATAGCCCTCACCTTTTCTTAAATTTTTGACAAAAATAAAAATTCTTTAATTTTACAAACAGTTACATTTTAACGTCAAGCTGAGTGTTTAGCCACTCAACCCAGTTAAATAATATTGATATGCAATTGTAACTGAACATATTTATCCTTAACCAATAGTTTAGTTAATTTTCACATTAAGGTTCATCTATTTTCGTATAAACAAATCAACATAAATCGAACTACGCGGACTTTGATCTCGAGATGTCGGGTACGTAGGCGGCCGAAAGGTTCAAGTCCATACAACTCCTAAAATATTATTTTATCAAATTACACAAATCATTACCGATGGGTACATGATCAATTAATCGCCTAACCTATTTAAACAAATTACGATCGATGGATCGTGTTCAAATTAAACAACTATTACGTGCCGATGGGTACGTAATCATTACTTTTCTAATCCATCTCAAACATATTACGATCGATGGATCGTTATCAAATTAAGCAACTATTACGTACCGATGGGTCGTAAACAAACGTTTTAAAATAATTAAAATGCCGGCGAACTACGAGGGCTTTGATCCCGAGATGTCGGGTACGTAGGCGGCCTACGGGTCCAAGTCCACTAATAAAATTAAAACCTTTTTCCCCGTAAAATTACCAAAAATATTAATTATTTCTTCCAACGTAATTACATGTTGATGAACATGTGATATATATAAAAAAGGACATCTCGTATTCGATAATAAATTCAAATAATTTCAAACAAACAAATCTCGAATAAAAAGACAAATCAAACTTTTAGTACCGACTTAGGGCGATGTAAGGGTGCTAATACCTTCCTTACTCGTAACCGACCCCCGAACCCAAAAATCTATTTCGCAAACCGAGCCGAGCCTTAAATCTTAACCGATTTAAGCTTGACTTTCCAAGTGTCCAATCCACTTTGAGAGATTGGTGGCGACTCCTCTTTTTCGCGCCGCGTCGCGGACGGACCGTTTGCGACAGTTGGCGACTCCGCTGGGGAGACAGGTTTAAATATACCTACGTGGGTCAGGCTATATTGATTTGTCTTCAATTTTGTTGTTTGAAAATATTTGCTTATTTATTATCGATATATATATGATGTTCATACATAAGGCTCTATACCCGAGCTAAATCCTTACTAGGACCCTTGGACGGAGTAGTGTATGCCTTTACGATGGTAAGGGCGCACGAAATCATCCAGCCCGAATTGAACCAAATCTAATACCGCCGAAAGGCTATTAGACGAGGTTACATTTTACTAGCTCAAGGGAGCGACAGTGAAATACAATTCGGGTTTCCCTTAAACCATCTGAACCTAGGTCCCACCCAATGCATAGTTATACTATTGACTGTGTGGTAATTTTTCTTTACCTTGTGAAATCGTTCATGTCTGTACTAAATTTGTTCATCTTATTGCATTTCACCCATTCACTTTTTTTAGAAAATCAAGCATAGTTGCATCTTTTCTCAAGTTATCATCCCATGCATTGTCATATCCATCGATTCCATCATAATAATTTGTCATATGACCAAACGTGTACATTCCCATAATAATCCTCATTCTCATCTCAAATTTAGTTGCATTAAAACAAGATTTTGAGATGAATATAAAGGTTATGTGATTTCTAGAAGTTCTCAAAATTGCTCACCGACAAACAAAAAAAAACAAAAAAATTTCCTCTCATGTATACCCAAATTGCTCAAAAACTGGACCACAAGGCAGATGTAAGACAAGAAGACGCAGAAGGATTTGGATGAGATTAAAGAGAAGCAAGAAAATGTTGAAAAGCTTGATGATGAAATGGGGGCATCGATATCGTATAAAAGGAAGTTTGAGAAGATTATTCCTTACGTATCCGGAGACATTCCACGACAAATAGAATGGAGGGCAAAATCTACTCACCATTATTTCAAAATTTCCCGGACACAATCTACCTACTATGGTGATCACCTTCTGACAGCGAATCCGCTCCACCCGTTGACCTCATAATCTTGTATCCATATTTTGATTTGGGGCTTTGATTTCCCACTTCTACCGTGACTATAATTATGTGCATAGTAATGGGAAAAGATACATGGATAATGATTGCTCAGGGTGCATGACAATCTATAATGACGACTGAGAATGTAGTATGCGAGTGATCAATGATATTCCTCCTTTGATGCAAAATTATATGAGAATCATAATTGTCCAATCACCACTTTTGTTATTTAAACATAGCAATTGGGAAACTTGCATGAGAATGATGAGCAGCTAGGAAGCCTGTGAGTTTTGTACCGATTCGTTTTCTTTCTTGTGTGCTAGATCCCTTTCTACATGATGATTATGCTTAATGTTTGCACGAGACCGAGTCATGAAACCATTAATGAGGAGGATGGAGGCATAGGTGTAGTTCACAACTTAAATGACTACCCATTGAGATTAGCCATGTTTCTTCGGTTACACCATGTTTTCAACCAATCACTGTTCTTTCAAGCCCTTATACTTAAACCCTTTCAAGGTTCCACGCGACGTATAAAATATGGTATTCTACATTTCGGACAGAAAAAATGAGCTAAGGAGGGATCATATCCAAAAAGCAGTGTTCCACAATCAAGATGCTTTGCCCTTTTCTTTGCCCTCTCATATAGAAGGTAGAAAATATCACACCACAAAAAAAAAAAAAAAAAAAAGAGCTGGCCATCCAATTTCCTACACTTTAAATGGGTTGTCACAAAGTCCATTGGCTAAGTAAACTCTCAAATGCTCAAATAAATTATCCACTCCTTTTCTCGTGAAGAGGAGCGTGATTAAGCAGAAAGTCGTGAGTTTTGGATATAGTGGAACCTTGAACTTTTAGCCACTTGAAACGACTATCCCATGTACTTCACCCTAGCCACATCTTACATAATTAAAAGTCCTTCCGATAAGTTAATGGTGACCCATCATGGAGACTCGGTCGAAATGCAAACATTTGCAAGCTAATTTCATGGTAGAAAGATGGTAGGCCGAGCGTATTCAAAATGCAACAACTTTGCACAAATTATTTGTCCTGACCCCACTGGTCGAGTGAAAGTGATTTTCTTACCTATGCTCTAAATCCCGGTGAGGTCCTAATTTGCTCAATTTCTTGCGCCATATTTCTTGGTTTCTATGTTTGAATCATTGAGATACCAAGCAACCAATTAGGTTCTCGTAACATTTTGCAAGTCGGATTCACAATTTCACTTATCACCAGCATACTATAGTCGAATGTCGTTTGTGGTGATTGCAAGCATCCATGTTGCCTTCTCATGCGTCAATTTCGAAGGCCTATTGAAGCACAAGTTTTCATACCCCTACGAGTATCGCCAAGGGTCTCGGGATATTTGCTAGTAAACAAGGATCATTTCATAGGATAATCAAAGGTCAAGCAATAAAGAGAATGACTTGATCTGCTACCTACATGATAACATGTACAGCCGCATAATCAACAACGTGCCTGGGTAAACGAATCCCGCATTCACACTCAAGCGCCTTCAAAATCAAGTCACAATGATGAAATGTCATAGCAAGAATAGTATGCTGCTAGGGGGCAACTGGGGGCAATAATAGAATGATCACCTGTACATATTGTCACAACTAGGGAAACGAAGAAGTGGCTGCCATTTCAAGAAGCAAAAAAAGAGAGCTCCGCCATCAAATGCATAGAAAAGCGATTGATGAATCGCAACACCAATACTGGGGGCAATCAAAATCAAAAGGATCACATCCAGACAAGAGAAGTCACATGGTCCGGTTAAAGAGCAAAAGAGAAGGAAAAATAAAAGAATTACGAAAATATTGTTGGTGAGCAATCAAGAAAGCTTCTAAAAATAATAAAATGATTTCTACTTATTTTCATTTTCTTATATCCCAATATCTCTCATTTTCCTTTTCAATGAAAACAATCATTCATCTCATTATCATACACGTCATAGAGCACATTTCGCCACAAACATCAATCTTCGCAAACACATCATCATTCATTATAGGATAGAATTTCACGTGCATATATCACTCAATCTAGAAAAAGCCCAAAATACTATTTTTACCCTTTATACCACTTACATCTTCATTTTTCCTCTCTTCCAATAAAAATGGATTCATATAAAAAATATACACGCACATTTTGCATCACAAGTCAGACCCTAAACATACTCATCAGCATTCATAATAAAATGAGATCTCACGTGCATAGTTTGCTTATGTACGTACCAAATAAATTTCACAATTAATCTACTTTGTCTTCATAGGATAATATGCCCTAGAAGATGTTCCGACCCAAAATATCATCCATACATTTTCATGCTATTCCCATTAAAGCGACTACTTACGTCATAGTTGTTTTTCCCTATACATATATCGACCTTGCGTCGGCAGGCGCTATAAACACCATGCACAATCGACCTTGCGTCGGCAGGCGCTATAAACACCATGCATTATCGACCTTGCGTCGGCAGGCGCTATAAACACCATGCATATCGACCTTGCGTCGGCAGGCGCTATAAACACCATGCATTATCGACCTTGCGTCGGCAGGCGCTATAAACACCATGCATATCGACCTTGCGTCGGCAGGCGCTATAAACACCATGCACAATCGACCTTGCGTCGGCAGGCGCTATAAACACCATGCATTATCGACCTTGCGTCGGCAGGCGCTATAAACACCATGCATATCGACCTTGCGTCGGCAGGCGCTATAAACACCATGCACAATCGACCTTGCGTCGGCAGGCGCTATAAATACCATGCAATATCGACCTTGCGTTGGCAGGCGCTATAAACACCATGCATTATCGACCTTGCGTCGGCAGGCGCTATAAACACCATGCATATCGACCTTGCGTCGACAGGCGCTATAAACACCATGCACAATCGACCTTGCGTCGGCAGGCGCTATAAATACCATGCAATATCGACCTCGCGTCGGCAGGCGCTATAAACACCATGCACAATCGACCTTGCGTCGGCAGGCGCTATAAATACCATGCATATCGATTTTGCGTCGGCAGGCGCTATAAACACCATGCATAATAAACTCGCGTCGGCAGGCGCTATAAACACCATGCCTATCAACTTCGCGTCGGCAGGCACTATAAAAACCATGCACAAAATATCACATCAATAAACACGTTCGACGTGTCCAGTTTGTTTCCCATCACCTCACAACTTGAATACATCATTGTTACCGAAACTCCAGTTTGATTCCCATCATTGATCGATTCCAATCAAGACTTTTCTTATTCAACTTGTTTAGTCGATTCTTATCACAAACACGTTGTCAAAATGGTCAAGTCGATTCCTATCACTCACATTTTCCCTATTCAACTCGTTCAATCGATTTCTGTCACAAACAACTTGAGTATGACGTTGTTACCAACTGGCTACTCGACCTTTATCATTCAACTTGTTTAGTCGATTATCATCACAAACATGTCATCGAATGATCAAGTCGACTCCCATAAGTAACATGTTCCTACTTAACTTGTTCAGTAGATCTCTATCGCCTTCTACAGGATTTCGGCTCCTGGCCTCGTTACCAAGTTGTCTATGGTATTTAAAGTTCTAACTCTACTTTTTCTAAAGATGATCACGATTAGGGAATGGGATTCGGGTGCCCATAACTCACACTTTGTATGCATCTTGTACCAAGAAACATACAAAGGGGGGCAACTGTTGACACCCATTTTTGTCCGGGTTAATTTCGTACTAAATAATTTTGTTCGAACCTAATAGGTTTAAACACTTGAAATTCATCATCCCATTACAATCCATTTCTGTTACACATTGGACTTCCAGCCTAGCCCGTTCCATAAAAAATGAAAATAACAAAAGAGAAATAACAGAAAGGGCCACAGCCCACAGTTGGAACCCAACAGCCCACATATCAGGACAGACCGGTTCGGTTCTTCAGACCAGACCCGCTCCTCCTCTGCTCCATCCTCGCCTCATTGCCTGCAAAAACAGAGTGATACTAAGCTCCATGATTTGATGAGTTGTACAAGGCCAGAGAAATCAATGAAAGGAAGAGAAACTAGATCTGGATAAAGAAAATTAATAACAGAGATGGGAGTAGGCTGAAGTGGTTGAGAGTTTGGTGTATAGTGGTTTTCGTTTTCTTATAAGAAGAGGCAGCAAGATGAGAATTGGGGGGGAGAAGAAAATAGCCAGTTGGTTCGAATCTTTCGATCGAAATTCCATTCCCGAGAGCAACCATTTTCTTTAGCCAACCCAAAGAAAACAGAGAAATCCAGAGATTCGTTCTTAATCAACAACCATTCACCCTGCCATAATCTCAAATCCAAACATCCTACAATTTCTGGAAAATTAAACGAATCATATAGCTACCCCACCTCGCTCCGTAAAATTAGAGAAATTAAATAACAAAAGCACACCCGTTGCCGCCTGCGACCACCGTGCCGCCGTCGTCATCTCACCGTCAATCGCCGACCCACACCACTGCCACCTTGGAGCTTCAGTTCCTCCCTCCCGAGTCCGCCGCCGTCGACCTGATCAACACCACCCGACGCCTCACATCGCCGCTCGCCGTTTCCGTGGCTCCACCCCAACACCGTCGCAGCCACCAGACAACAGCCGAGCCTATCTCGTTGTCGGACCGCCGAATCGTCAGGCCAGCGCGTCTTCGTCGCCGCACAACCGCCACCCATCGTCGATCATCGTCTCAGTCGCAAAACCAGACCACCGCCGCGCCACTGTTCCTTGCTGTTCGGTTCGCCGTGGAAGTAGAAGATCGCAGTGTTGGGAGCAGTAGAAAGAGAAAGGGGGAAAAGGTTGGTTTTTGGTATCTCTGCGTCGGATCACAGCACAGGTAAGGATTTTTTATCTCTTAATTTCTTAAATCACTAAACTAACCTCAAACCCTAGCGAATTTACAGAAATACCAAGGAAAAGTTCCATGTTTGGTCCCTCACGTTTTTAAGTAACCCGACATAGCCCTCACCTTTTCTTAAATTTTTGACAAAAATAAAAATTCTTTAATTTTACAAACAGTTACATTTTAACGTCAAGCTGAGTGTTTAGCCACTCAACCCAGTTAAATAATATTGATATGCAATTGTAACTGAACATATTTATCCTTAACCAATAGTTTAGTTAATTTTCACATTAAGGTTCATCTATTTTCGTATAAACAAATCAACATAAATCGAACTACGCGGACTTTGATCTCGAGATGTCGGGTACGTAGGCGGCCGAAAGGTTCAAGTCCATACAACTCCTAAAATATTATTTTATCAAATTACACAAATCATTACCGATGGGTACATGATCAATTAATCGCCTAACCTATTTAAACAAATTACGATCGATGGATCGTGTTCAAATTAAACAACTATTACGTGCCGATGGGTACGTAATCATTACTTTTCTAATCCATCTCAAACATATTACGATCGATGGATCGTTATCAAATTAAGCAACTATTACGTACCGATGGGTCGTAAACAAACGTTTTAAAATAATTAAAATGCCGGCGAACTACGAGGGCTTTGATCCCGAGATGTCGGGTACGTAGGCGGCCTACGGGTCCAAGTCCACTAATAAAATTAAAACCTTTTTCCCCGTAAAATTACCAAAAATATTAATTATTTCTTCCAACGTAATTACATGTTGATGAACATGTGATATATATAAAAAAGGACATCTCGTATTCGATAATAAATTCAAATAATTTCAAACAAACAAATCTCGAATAAAAAGACAAATCAAACTTTTAGTACCGACTTAGGGCGATGTAAGGGTGCTAATACCTTCCTTACTCGTAACCGACCCCCGAACCCAAAAATCTATTTCGCAAACCGAGCCGAGCCTTAAATCTTAACCGATTTAAGCTTGACTTTCCAAGTGTCCAATCCACTTTGAGAGATTGGTGGCGACTCCTCTTTTTCGCGCCGCGTCGCGAACGGACCGTTTGCGACACCATTGACCCCCCAAAAACTTTGGTACCCACTGCATCACCTATTTGAAAAATTCATTCACTGGATTCTACGATCTGAATAGCTTCTTCAGACCCACATTTTTTCGAACACATTCTCCTATTTTGGTAGCGCTTCCACACTCTCAATGAAGGCTATAAATACAACCTCTTGATAGAAGAGTTTACCATATTTGCTTAGGTTACCTTAGCAATTATAGGTAATGTTTGTCGAAAATCTTTGCCGATCATAACAAAAACTCTTCCAAAGATCATGTCCTCACTGCTTGGATATTTCACATGCAAAGTGTCAATAAGAGTTCTATCCACTGCTTCAATGTTATTCTTATGGCCCATGGGAATTTCATCTGAAATTATAAGAGAAGCATTCTGAATCAACTATGCTAACTTGCTAACTTGCTCAATGTGAGATGTTCATTTTGAATCACAGTTAATTGGAATATGAAATCGAGAATGAAAATTTTTAGCTCCATTAATTGTTATAATTTCATCATAAGAATGACAGCCTCTAACTAAATGCAGCAACATGCGAAGAAAAAATCTTACTTTGCCTTATGGAGGACAATAATATAATCTTTCAATAGAAACCTTGTTATTCTTCATCTGTCACCCTTTCAAATTCCGATTCCAAACAAAATATTGGGAAAACTCCACAAATTTATATTTCCGTGCCTTAGAAGAATGAACATTGATTTACATCCATGCCAATACATTGATGTTTCATTTCTTTCAATAGCTTTTCAACTGTTTGGTTCTCCTTTGTCACTACTTTATTCTCCCAGAAAAATGACATACGCAACATAGAAGGTGAATTACAGCTAGGTCATACTTAAAAGGTTTCCATCATTCCTCATATGATGTTATGTAACGACAATCTGGAAATGCTTTAACATCATCAATACAACACACAACTTATTGAAGATTTTTTGTGTTTTGGTTGTTCCCCTAAATCACATGTGACATGGACATAGATTAAATTGTAAGATGTATATAATTATGCCAATAAAATTATATGTACTATATTCATTTTTCCACGATTGAAGCATTATTTGGTTGTTTGAATGATTCTCCTCGGGAAGTATACATATGAATAACGAATAAAAACCAAAATTGGTTCAGGAGAAAAAAGAAACCACAGGAGACCATAATAATTGAACCAGTATATAAGATTAATTTAGTGGGATATAAAAAGATCATGAGAGGAATAACTAAAATTGATTTGTTACGAAATTTGACATTGATATGAGTGAAATCATAATAGTAGGTATATGTTATAAGGAATGGCACTGATTATCTAGTGAGACCCCATTCATCATAAACGCTCAGTTGTTCTCTCGATGCTGATAACTTGCAAAACCATTGCCATGAATAGTTTTTTCCCTACATAATTCCTTCTCAAAATGTTTACAACATATATACATCATTAGTTATACATGGAGCTTTAGGTTCTCGAATGCCACATGGACCATGAAACATAAAATTTATAACTGCTTCATAACATGAAGGATCTGGCTATCTGCTTAATGATATGAGATTCAACATATATAATTGAAGTTATTTATGAAGGACCCTAGAATTTATCTTCTACCTCTAGGAAAACTAATAAATGAGCATAAAGTAGACCATGTTTTTTCAATTCAATTATCATTACATCTGGAATGAAAGAAATTATCAATATTAATCTAAAAGATAATGATTACCAAACAAATGATGAATTGAGGATGTTTGAATTAAAGTTATGGAATATAACTTACATACACATGTTTTCCCGAAAATCTCAACAATTGATTAGCTTTAGCTTGAAAACTCTTGCAAGTACATCATCTCTATGAGATATTTTCTAGTAGTAGTCTTTATCAAATCAACCATGTATCGAATCTCCAGCCAATCATGATTACATGTAATTGTAATGAAAAGATATGGATATCCTGCCATATACAAATTGCCTTAGAATCCTGGAAGCTTTCATACTTATATCAAGGACTACATGTATGCGATGAAGCTAAAACCACATGCATGTTTTCCACTCAAACTGGTATATGAATCACCTTTTGAGTAAGAATCTAAGAGCTTTGTAGTAAGGGTGTTGCAAATTTTTTTGGTTGTTTTAATCCAATCCAAATGCTAAACCTCAAACAGTGCATATGCATTAATAACGTATTGTTGGAACAACTTTCGACACAATAACAATGAGTTTGATTCTTCCAGTCTTATTTGTAGTCTATAGCTCTAAAAATTACATTGGGTCACATTCCTCTCATTGATTCCATCTGCATCCTCGGTACTAGAATATGTAATATTTGGGAGCCAACTATCCTCACCATCGGAATAACATGAGATGTTGCAAAGCCATTAACATTGGATGATAAATATTATATACTAATTTGCTTAAGTTCATGACTTTGATACTCGATCACAATCATGAGAAAGTGTTTGCTCTCTAGTATCATCAACAATTAAAGTAGCAGACTGTAAAAAAAAAACAATTAAAATAGCAACCTCATAAGCAAATAGTGAATCATCTTTTACACCATCCTCCTCTCTTTTAGCAAGCAACTTAATTTCAACTTGTAGAACAGTGATTTCATTTAATCTATCACTTTTATATTGAAATTATTTTACTAAAGACATTATTATTAGTTAAATCTAACATCTCTTGCAATTGTTGAACAATTGAATTGCATAAGGGATTTGCAGCTGGATTTGTGAAGAAAAAATCTAGTCGGTTTTGGAGTTCATTGCCAGTGTAATATATGTAGAGTTGAGCAAGTTTGATTTGTTCCTTTTAGTTAGTACCAAAATACCGATTCGATAATATACTTGACCTTCAATCAAATAAACATATACTCTGCATCCATCATATAGAGATCGGTCCAGTTTACCTCCAATAAAAGTTAATGTAAAAACCCCATTCAGCCTCATGTATGTTCCAAACAGTGACGTCTCGTTGAAGTATTTGTTTGTAATAGTAGATTCAAAACATCTGGAGGGTGCCCTCGAGGAGAAAGGTTAACTTTTCCTTATAAGTTATTAATCTCATTTCGAGGTCATGTATAAGAACAAAACAAATAAGTATTGTAGCAGCCAGCACAATATTTGATAACATATAAATGGAAAACAAACATGAAATCAATGGAAAACCAGTAGAAATGTTAACAATTTTTCATATATATGCCTTTGCCTTGTATAACACGTTTTCTTTTTGCTAATTTTTCAATGGTTGATCAATTCTCTTCAACTATGACTTATGTGCATTAATTTATGAAATATAAAATGGAGATCAAAAGTTTTGTAAGATCAAGTAGTGTGAAACAGTTAGAGATTATAAACAATTGATAGTCATCGATGTTCTTACTATAAGAAAACTTAAATTGCGCTTCAACGTGAAATAGTTTGAGATTATAAACAATTGATAGTCATCGATGTTCTTACCATCAAGAAAATTAAATTGCACTTCAAAAAGAGACTGATCAGAATGAACCATACCTTCTGGTGGCATAAAACGACTCTTTTTTTCCTAAATCACACGTGACATGGACATATATTAAATTGTAAGATGTATATAATTATGTCAAAAAAATTATATGTACTCATTCAAATTTTTGACGAATAAAGCACTATTTAGTTGCGTAAATGATTCTCCTCATGAAATACTTTTTCGGGGCATAGAAACGGGAAAAATAATCACTCATAATAATGTAAAACATAATCAAACAATACCTTAATCATCTGTTATTATGATCTACTTCATAGACAATTATTGTGAAATTGATGAATAAAAGCCACATATCAACAGTTTCATGAAAGTTTTTTTTTTTATCATAAGTTTCATGAAAGTTAAATTAAAGAAACCAAATAACCGACTTCTCTTGATGGATATTCT